CAGGAGGAACATTTGAAACCATCGGTAAGGTGATGGGTGCACATCTCGGAATAGCTTCATCCGTCAGCAGTTTCTTTGGTGGTGATGGTGGCCTGTTGGGAAAGAAAGAAACTTTGGAGCCATCTCCAAGCGAACCAGTTGAGCCACCAAATCCTGTGCTGCCGCCACCAGCTGAAGACACTAGGTTCAGACGAATCATGCGAGGAGGTTTCACCGACATGCTCCGAGGCAAAGTGAAAAGTCAAGACGATTCTCCGAGCTTATGACATGGGAGACTTCTCGTAGGCACCATTCAGGCATGTCTTCTCCTTTCCTTTCTCAGTATAGTCTCTAGCGAAGAACCTTTTCTGTCTTTGCATGAAATCAGAATACCATGTCGAATAAGGTTACATTCTTTCATTAAATTATTTTTTTCACCTTATCTCACTTTTGTACCCTACTTCCAATAGTGAAAAGAAAAAAGAAAGAATATTGTATCCTAAGAAGTAATGTTTCATTGCATTACATATGTGTAAAACGAAAATATCCGCATAATTTAGGATCTCTTTAATGCCTTATAGTCATCTCTTTCCCTTGCTATATCAGCATGTTACTGGTTTTGCTCTTCATTTCACCCATTTGATTTGGTATCCTTCTGTTTATATTTTATATCTTGATAGTTTTGAAAAATTAATTAAAAAATATTATATTTAGGAAGCAATGCATGCGACTTCAAACCGCCCTCAAAGGTAGGACGTTTTCCATTTTATAAGAACTTTTGTACCAGAAACAATCGTATCTCCGATTATAGCTCCGCGGTATGTAAATTATATCTTTTCTCACCATCTTCCAGTGTATGGACAAATGAATGCATTTTTATTAGAGTCGTATTCTATGGTTACGATTCTATTATATATGTCTGTTTCATTCCGTCGAAAATCGATTTGACGGTATAGACATTTATGACCTTCCCCTCTATGGCATGTAGTAATGATTTCTCTAGTCTTACAATTTTTACCACAACGATGTTGATCATAGATTAAATTACTTTGTGGATTGGATGTCCCTTCCATTGCCCTCTCTTATTTTTTTTCTTTTTTAATAAAATAAATAAATAAATAATAAAAGAAAAAAAAAAGAATATACCAAAAGGATATGTTGGCGAAGATTAATAACAATAATCCAAGGAGAGGCAATTTTGTCTTCTTCTTGAATGCAAACAAACACGTAATGAACTATGGTATTCATTTACACGAATGATGTTAGGGTCTTGTGACCAAGATCTAGAGTCCATGACCTCCAATCCATAATAAACTTCCCAAGTAGTGTTACATGAACTGGATTGGATGTAGGACTATCTCCAAAAGGATCATTAAAAGCCTAGTTGAGAAGTGGATCACATCTAAGCTAATATCATGATCATCCTAACAATGAGAAATATAATTAGAAGAGATCTCACCAAACAAACATAGTATTGCTACCTTAGTTGACACTCTTATGATCCCAGCACTAACTTAAACATAGAAATGTCCCACATCGGTGTGAGTGGGTGCGTCGCGTACTTTCACCTAAATAAAGTAAGTCTGAAATCTGCGAGAGCAGCGTCACATGTGTTAACGTTAGGCGAATGCTGACTCTGGCCCTCACATGACACCAAAGGACATTTTGCTGTTTCGCAAGCAGCCCCAAAATGTACGAAGTCTCTTTCAGCGCTTCTATTCAGGGGCCAATGTTCTGGCAACCCGACAAAAATTTTAGTGTTCTGCTCCAAGTTTTCACGCCACAAAATCTTAACCACTTGCATGAGAAGAACCCAACAACCCCACTAGAGAGTGTTACTGAATTCTGCAACAGAGGAACAACAATCCATGGCTTTAGTTCTCTCAGCTGCTCTTCTCCCATTTTCTTCCTCTCTTCTGCAACGCCTTCCCAGAAGCACTTCCAAGCTTCGAGTCGTTTCCAGCCATGGCGGTGGTGGTGTCGAGCTAATTGCAGATTCCGCCGCCCCTTCGGCCGAAAGGGTAAGTTTCGGATTCAAAAATTTGGCGGAGACTTTTTGGGTAAATGTGCAGAGGGCTGAGGGGAGACCATTCAGTGTTGGGCTTAATTCGCCATTGTATTTTGGGGATTCGAAGCTTGAAACGGTGGAGAATGTTGCAATCAGAGTTGAACTGAAGAATGGGTGTGTTGGTTGGGGGGAAGTCCAAGTGTCTGTTACTGATGTGAATCTTGAAACAGTTCTTGCGAAGGCTGAGCAGGTCTGCAGCTACCTCCGCCACACTCCGCCGGCGACTCTAAATTCGATGTTTGATGATATTACTGGGCTTCTTTCCCCTCGGGAGTTTGCTCCGGTGAGTGAAATCTTCCCTTATGGATTTTGTTTCTATTTTTGGGTCGATTTCACTGAAAGGAATTGAATGGATGTGTTTATTAAGTAAGTTTTGTGGGGATATTAAGAGTAACTCTTTAAATGGTATCTGTTTTGTAAAGATCAGGGCTGGGGTAGAGATGGCATTGATCGATGCAGTTGCTAATAGCATCCGTGTTCCACTTTGGAGATTATTTGGTGGAGTGACTAGTACATTGACAACTGCAATAACAGTTGAGTTCGATGAACTTTTGCGCTAAAATGGTATCTTTTTTTTTTCTTTTTTTTTCTTGGTTCTTGAATAAAAAATTTCATTTTCCACTTTTCTTTGTAAAATTTGTTACTGCAGGTTCCAATTGTTTCCCCAGCTGAGGCCACAATCTTGGCGTCGAAGTATTACAATCAAGGATTTGGGACTCTTAAGCTTGTTGTTGGAAAAAACTTTGCTGCAGAACTTGCAGCTATTGAGGCTATTCATGCAGCTCTACCCTGCTGCTCACTCATGTTTGATGCGAATGAGGGATACACAGCCGAAGAAGCAATTAAGTTTCTTGAGAAATTGAAGGGTAATATTTTGACAAGATATAAAATCAGCTAAGAATCTTTATTGTGCAGTAAATTGTGACATCCCACGTCGGTTCGAATCCTCTCTCTATCAGATGCGTATTAAAAATCTTGAGAGAAACCCCGTAAGGAAAAGCCTAAAGAGGACAATATCTAATAGCAGTGGGCTTGGGCCATTGCAAATGGTTTTAGAGCCAAACATTAGGCGGTGTGCCAGCGAGAACGCTAGGCTCTGAAGGGTAGTGGATTGTGAGATCCCATATCAATTGGAGAGAGGAACGAGTGTTAGCAAGGACGCTGGACCTCGAAGGAGAGTGGATTGTGAGATCCCACATCGATTGGAGAGGGGAACGAAGCATTCTTTATAAGGATGTGGAAGCCTCTCCTTAACATACGCGTTTTTCTTCCAAATAGGACAATAGGACAATATTTGCTAACGGTGGGCAAATGCCCCCTCAATGGTTATACTTAGTTATTCCTTCCCATCACTTGCATTTGATGTCACCATTATGGACAAATTGTGTTATCAATGGCAGATATGGGGATAGTTCCTCTTGTTTTTGAGCAACCTGTAGACCGAGATGACTGGAAAGGCCTTCGCCAAGTCAGCAACGTTGCTAGAACATATGGGATACCTGTTGCTGTGGATGAAAGCTGCCGGAGTTTGACTGACGTTCAGAAGATCATCGATGAAAATCTGGTGGATGCCATAAACATCAAGTTGCCCAAGTTTGGAGTCCTTGGAGTTCTAGAAATAACAAATCTGGCAAGAAAATCAGGCCTGACTCTTATGGTCGACAGCATGGCCGAGACGAGACTCGCAACCGGCTTTGCAGGCCATTTGGCTGCTGGAGTTGGTTGCTTCAAGTAATTTTTTATGTCTTTTTTTATCACCATTCTGCTAAGAGCCCTGGCTTGAGTGAAGTTCCTTATTCAAATTGCAGGTACATTGTTCTTGATACACCATTTTTATTAGCAGAAGATCCTGTTGTTGGAGGTTATGAAGGTAAACATTCTAAACCAAAATGAACTTTCTTGCTTACCATGACGGCGCCTGAGTCTAAGCTCTACTTTTGTCCTCAACTAGTTTCTGGTGCTGTGTACAAGTTCAATAATGCAAGAGGCCAAGGAGGGTTCTTGAATTGGGATCTTCTTCCTGGTGAGATATACTGCCATGTGTTCTTCTCATATCATCTTTCTCAGTCTTACTTTCAGCCATTTCATTGTTTACAGCCATTTGAATATCCTGCTATTTCTTACCAAACCAACCAAATGGATGTGCACCATATTTACCTCTTAAAAATATCCCAATATTCTTGGTTACAAGAGCTTCCTTTGCTTATGAGCCCTGTGATACCCTCTACCGGACTTTATCCAAGTAGATATTGTCTACTTTGACCCGTTACGTATTGCTGTCAACTTTACAATTTTAAAACACATCTGTTAGGGAGAGGTTTCCACGTCCTTATAAGAAATGTTTTGTTCCCCTATCCAACCGACATGAGATCTCCCAACTTAGCACTGCTCAGAAAGCTAATAAATTTGCTTAAGTCCGATTTAAATTTGAAATGATTTTATGATAGAAACCAAAGTTTGTGTGGAAGTGTATACTAATTCTGTGGCTGATATCATTCTGCAGAAGCTGGTGGGTTACGTTAATTCCTTCAACTTTTGTCGGCCCTCATGGTTTTCTGTAGAAAATAAATGCTCCAGTTAGTCTAAATTGATGCATGGCACTCTGCAAATGGCTAAGCCTTGAAGGAGTAGAGGACAAACTTCGTTGTTGTTGTTGTGAACAAACCCTTTTAGGCTATCAATTACAAGGCCATGGAAATTGGAGAAAATGTGTACATTATAATAAGCCTTTTATGGTGTTAACACGAAAAAGAAAGTGTTGATATGTTTTGTATATTCATTTGATAAAATTTGGTTGAATTGTCGTGATATAACTTAGTTAAATAGACGACCAAGAGTGTTACTCTTGCATTTCGTTTATATTATTAACTACATAAACTCAATATCGATAGGGTCTAGAGCAGCTCTTAGTTGATGCTAATTCTGTTATTAAACATGTAATTTTAGTATAAGCTTACAAAGCAGATTTTAGTTTTAATCCCTTATTGAAATGAAGGCGGCTATGTATAAGAAGTCAAATTACAGTGTATACTATGCACAAACTACCATACACACATCATACACAACGTGTTATCAAAATATGATACCATATGAAGACACCATCACAAGGAATTTGTAATGGTAGAGCTGCTAACCCAGTTATCATCTATGACAGAATTCGGCGAAAAGGCGGGTGGTGTTCTCTTCGTGATCTCGATGTCGTCTTCAACGACTCCTATATCGACAACTTTAGACATCTCAGACCTGGATTTGTCATTCTCAATCTCCCTTAGTACTTCCACCACTTCTTCCATGGAAGGCCTCAGGTCTCTTTCTTGTTGAAGGCAACGAAAAGCCAACTCCGCTACTGATGTTGTCGCCCTCATAACTTCAGGATTCTTGTCGAACCCGAGCTTCGGATCGATCAACTCATTCAATGCCCGATTTTGTATTTTACTCACTGCCATATTGCTCAAGTTGATATCCTGTCGTTTCCGATCGGTGTCGACAGCTCTTAGCGACGATATAAGCTCGATCAAAACTACTCCAAAGCTGTATACGTCGCTCTTAGTAGTAAGTTGATAACATTGGTAGTACTCAGGATCAACATAGCCAGGCGTGCCTTGTGGGGCAGTGGAAACATGAGTTACATCAGTAGGGAACAGCCTTGAAAGGCCAAAATCAGCCACTTTGACAGTGCAGGTGCTGTCGAGGAGAATGTTATTGGTTTTGACATCTCGATGTATGATGTCTTTGCGATGGAGATATATGAGTGCATTCGCTGTTTCGATGGCGATTCGCAACCGAATCGGCCAACTGAGTAGACCAAACTTCACCCGTGATCCGTGGAGATGGTCGGCGACAGTTCCATTGGGAATGTATTCGTAGACAAGGAGAAGGCCTTGGCTAAATTTGGAGGTGCAGCCATAGAGCTTGACAAGGTTCTTGTGTTGTAAATCAGCAAGGATATTCACTTCATTCATGAACTGCTCCACACGTTTGCAGTTATGTTCATATAGACGCTTCACAGCAACTTCACGCCCATCATCAAGCTTCCCTGTTTCACACAAAGCACAATCAATAAACATACCTCTTGCAATATGTTTAACAAAAGATGACAAGAGCTTCATACCATAATAAACAGTGCCAAATCCGCCATCGCCAAGCTCTCCAGAACGGTTGAAATTCTGGGTGGCTTTTTCGAGTTCAGCATAGCTGAATACTTGAATATCAGAGTTGGGGGAAGGCCTCTCAAGGTCAGATTTGGAAGAGGGATAAGAAGGAATGCTGTGAGTCTGGAAGGAGTTCAGAAGAGGAGCGGGAGGCATATCTTTGTCGGAAAGAGGATCAGAAACAGGAGGAGAAAGGGCAGCTTCCTTGCTGACATACCCAACTGGGTGCTTCTTCTTCTTCTTCCCCAAACAAAAAAAGATGCAAAACCCTAAAATCGTTGCCACCAAAAAGGCTCCTCCAACCGAAGCACCTAATCATATAAACAATAAAGTTCAAAAACTGTGTAGTGAGGCAGTGGGGGGTTCCTTCATGTTTGAACTTACCAATTATAATGGCTTTTTCTGTTGCTGTCTTCTTCGTCTTCGTTGCCTCTGCTGCAAATTTTTACAATCAGTTCCAACTCAATTACAGAAACAAAATACGCATATATTCTAAAAAATCATTAATAACCTAATTAGTATTATTGAAGTAATTAATAATTAATATCTGCTTGTTAACCATTAATAATCTAAATCTCCCCTAGAAAAGGGGAAAAAAACAGATTCTAAATCTGTTCAGATCAGGAGCAGACGAGGAACACGAGAGAAACATGGATGGAGAATGCAGATGGCGCTCGAACAGTGAGGAAGGCACTCACCGGAGCGGCTTGTTCACTTCTTAAATGACTAAGCGAAAATGGAAACAGATCTCGCCGTCGGAATGCGACATCGTCGAGTAAACCAGGAGAAAGATGGTCAACGGATGAAGCCAGGTAAATCAGTCAAAAATTATTTGATTTCGTATTGCTTTTCAATCTTTATGAATGTTGAGTTCGAAGAATCTTATGTAAAAAGGATAGAACAACTTGGCATTTGGTGATTTGAGTTGAGTTGAGTGGTGGTGGGATCCGAAGTGCGTACTAGTGGAGCTTCAGTGTTGACTGTCTGGATTGGCTAGTCATTTCGGTTTACTGGAAAAAAAAAAGCCCTTCAAATATATCTATCGTACACAGATTTAGGATTTTGTTCTAGGAAATAGAAATCATTTCAAAGTTCGTGGGAGAATGAATGGAAAGTGGAGGAAAATCTTGTTGGATGCTTATTTGAATCAACTTAGCATCTGGATGAACTAATTCTTGAAAAGGATTTGAATCATACATACCTGAAGGCGTTGATCCACAAGTGGTTTTGAAAGCTCCATCCAAACAGTAACAAGTGAATTCACCCAAACTTGGGTCTGAACCACACTGCCCGCCTGATTCATGACACTCATAACACACTCTATTGTCTATCCTCCACTGCAACTCAAATCCAGTTTCAAGAGCTTCTTTTAGGTTTTGCTCACTTGGATTACTCTGTAGACTTTGCATCATTGATTTAGAGATTGCAACATCAACGCTATGGTTGCACTTCATGGTGTTTGAGATATTCCTAGCCTCGGAATTCTGGGTTACGATGAGATTAACATAATTTGTGCTGTTTATGTTGCAACGAAACTGGCCAGGCAAACCAACGGGCAAGGGTGGGCAGTCATAAAATAGCTTTAGGGGCTGAGTGTCTGAGCTGTAGTAGAAGAGGCTTGAGTCAAACGTGGTGTTCTTCAAGGACTGTGGACAGATATTGTTCCAGTAATCTTTTCTAGCTACCCTCAGAGTGTGTGTGTTGGTATTGATCTCGAGAACCCGATAGGCGATGGAGTTGATTGCAATTTCTAGAGCTTCTTCTCTGCAACTCAACTCAAAACTTGGATGGCCACAGTAATCAGGTCGATTCAAACCCCAGAAAGGATAGCCGAGATTTGGATATGTGAGGCACTTCAATGATGAGTTGCAGTTCCTATATTTCTCCTCCTCGCCATCGCATAAAAGAGTCAGGGGTTGGATTAGAACTGTTGCTATGAAGATCAAGGCCAGAAGCAAGGCTTTGGAGGGATTGGTAGCCATTTTTGACAGGGGAGTGTAAATTCAGAGGTTTGAAATGGAGAAGAATGAATGAAATGGTTGAGTTTATTATGAAGAATGATGATTTGGTTGAAGAACTCCAACGAAGTGGGATGTTAAGTTTTGTCAAAGGGAGGCTTCCGTAAGTGCTACACTACCGATGCCAGTCAATCAACGTTTAGCTGAACTCACTTGGTCCTAATACAAATGTCCACTTCTTATTTGTCATAGCACCTAACACCTCTATCTCTTTCTCTAACTAAGCAAGGGGGTCTCAAGCAAAGTAGGAAGACTGCGTCTGCCTCTACCTCTTAGTTCATCTTAGATTGAAAAAACTATAAGCCTCTTTTTACTTCACCCTCCTAAACTTTCGATTGAGAAGATGAAATGGACGACTTCCAGGTTCTTTTAGTATCTCTTTTTTTGAACCGGGTAAAGCTATTTGAAGAATCTTTCGAGCTTGTTAGGGACAGGTTCTAGTCACTCTTTTGATGTCATGCCATTGTGGTGGCACGGGAACTACGTAAAATTTTTCCCTACACACCTAGAAACTCCATTTCAACTTTAGACTCCACAGCTCACCCAAATGAGCGCTACTAAGTTGGCCCGACCTCATCGATCACTTGCTTAAACTGCTGTATTTGCAGTGCAATATTTGCTACAGAGTAGGGATCGGAGACTCGAACAAACCCGGACTTTGAATATGATCTTTCAGTTCTTGCAATCACCATTTTCAGGATGATTGAATAGTAATTAAGTTTAGAATCATATTTAGTGAATAACAAGGAGTAAGGCGAGTCTTCTGAGGTCCCAAAACAATACAACGGGACAAAGTTTTTATTTTACATATATGCGTAATATATAAGTTCAGTGACTGGTAGTGATGGCCTCTTCTTGTGAATGATCAAGATGTTAGTTTTAAAACTTGGGATAGTTTTGTGATTTTCATGTTGTGAGCTGAAAGTGAGTAAGAAAAAGTAGTAATGGGAAGGTAGGGGGAAGCATGATCATAACTCTGGGGGACATGGTCACTTATTCCATAGAAGACATTATCTTATGAATGCAGCAGATTAATCAGTGTTTAACTTTTAGTAGTTCTTGAGTGTGATGATTGGTAAGAAGCGTGAGATTGTTTGTGTGGAAAGCTAGAGAGAATAAGGATCATGTCTGAAGAAGTATTGGGTACATTTCGAAGGGAAAGCAAGAAGAAGAGTTAAAGAGGAGAGGGTTTGTGTACGTACCGGGAGGAGGTGCTGCTGTTTTGGGCGCATCATCGTTTTGTGGCGATCCAGCCGGTGGGGAAGGACAGAATTCAAACACTTTAGGGGAAGTTTTACAGCAGCATTTTGGTTGATGCAATTGCAAGTCATAACTGTAAACAGCGCCAGGAACACTGCAATTCCCACATTCTGCATTGGATTTCACCTTCCGCGTTGCCTTTAACTCTTCTATGATATGCTGCGCTACCCTTTTCAAATCATTGTGATTTTCGTTCAACAACGATGGTGAAATTGTCACTTCAGTACTCAAAGAACAAAATCCATCAAAACTAGTCCTCTTATCTAATGGGATGTGGATAAACTCAGATCCCGGACAAGTAGGTTTGTCTGGTGTATGAGGATGCCCGCAGTGATAAGATACATGAATCATCGCATAGATGGAAATTGAGGGAGCATGGTTGGAACAAAACCAAGCAGAATGGTCGATTTCAGCTATTATAAGAATTTGATCCTTTATACTATATCCCAGGAGTTGGTAACTTCTTCCCTCAATTTCTATGATTTCACGGCCTCCACCATCGCAGTTGACGTTCATTGTCTGGGGATTACCACCACAAGTTTCTTCTCCAATATTTGACCAGAGAGGAGGTTCATTATCGGGAACACTCATGCATCCCTTCGAATTGCTGCAGTTCAAGAACCATTCACCATAATCAGGGAAAGCACGAGACGTGGTCAAAATCAAAATCAGGAGCAGAAAAGGTGAAAAAAGACGAGAAAGAGAGAACAGAAAGGATCTGGAATCCATTTGTAAGGGATAATATGATTGATTGATTGATTTTCCGACATTAGAGATGAAGCTTATGATATAGGAATGGGTGGGTGAAGCGAGGTCATGGAGAGATGGGAATCTGGAAGTTGGTACATACACGCGCAGTTGACTTCATCAATCACTCTTTAAATTTAAGTCTGTTCTTTTCTTTTTTTCTGTGCGTTGATTTGGATGGTTGAAAGTCTTTGTTTCTGGACTTTTAGCCCATCATTTACTCCATCATTGTTCCTGCTCACCACTCATCTCCATCCCAATTTCAGTTCTTTCTTTCCTTTAATGTCCCAATTCAATCTTTCAACTTTCAACTTTAGGTGGGAACATTGGACTACCAGTAGTTCTTTCTATTACAAACACGATTGACTCCTTCTTTCTATTACAAACACCATTGAATAAGAAAATTATTTGATGTACAATTAAAATGTGTGAGTACTAAAAGAAAATTATATTTGTATAGTGTTGGTGATGGAAATGGGGGTTGTGGTAGAAACGTAAATACAAACTTTGGAAGGATCTGAATGCAAGTTCCCAGGAGCCGACACGTGTAAGCAATGGCTAGGTATAACCCTCCGACGAAAATAATAAATAATAAAAAAAGAAATGTTTTTATTCGCTGCCGCCGTCGTCTCTCTGTAACGCCAAAGAGTAAAGACCCAAAAGGATCCACTTCCCACTTCCCACTTCTCACTTCTTCTCATCCCTAATTCAGAATCTCAGATCTCTCTCTCTCTCTCTCACAATCTCCAAATTTTGATTCCAATTTTCAGTCTCACTCAGGAGAAATTAATCGACGAATCTCTCAAATCTCAATCTCCCATGGCTACCTTGCATAAATTCAAGCTCTTAGCCTCCCAATGTGCCGTCGCCGGTTGCCCTACTCAAAGCCCCACTGCTAGCCCCGTCTTTCACCTCCGCCGTCGCCGACGCAAAACCCTAAGAATGCTCCTCAATCGCGCCGATCGCCGCCGATTTCCCTACCAAGATAACTCCGCCGATCCTCAAGATGTCGACGACGACGATGACGACGACGACAATATGATTCCGGAGAAAAACGATAAGGAGGTCCGAGCCAGGCGGAAACTCAAGGATTTGTTCGTCTCGTCGCCGCCACTCGAGGATAAGGTTTCCGACAGGAGAATCGAAGAACAGGAAGCATTATTAACGACGGCCAACACCAGCGCCGCTGGAATCGGTACGCCTTCCATCACTCGCCGCTCTCTAAGGCCGATATCGGCGACATTTCGTTACAGATTTCTCCGGCGAGCTTGGCGGCCGGTGCTCGTCACCATTCCCGAATAGAGGATACTCCTCTCTGGTAAATTCTGTACGAAGAAACTCCATAACTTTTGCCTTGATTCTTTTCTCTTTTTTGATTTTCATAACATTTTTTTTTCCTAATAAATTCGGACGAGTGGTCTAGCAGTGGGGAGGAGAACGATGAAACAATGTAAATAATTTAAAGAAAAAAAAAAAGAAAAAAGAAATTAGTGATAAATTACCATATACGAATACGATGTTCGGTGAATTAGAATTAAAGGTTAAAAAGGTAATTAACTATTGGCGCCGTATTTTGATAACGTGCGCCGTAGTTGCGTAAGGACGTAATGGCCACGCGACGTTGATAACTCACCAATCCGTTAACGGAAAAAGAAGGTTTTAACGATTGTAAAACAAATGAAAACGTTTAGCGTTAAATCTTAATTAAAGATGGTAATGATGAATTAATGGAAAAGCTTATTTTGGGAGTGAGGTAAAAAAATGTGTGTAATTATTATTGTTGGTATTTAGTTTTGGAATTTAATATATGTGTTGGCTTAGAATTGGGAACAAGGAGTTTGAATGTGGAGGAGAGGTGCGTTGATATAAAACTAATTGTAATAAGTAGAATAAAAATAAAATAAATAAAAAAGAAGTCACATGGGTCATTATGTATATGTACTTTAGAGTAGCACGATTTTAGGAAATGCAAATCATGATGTGGAAGAATGTGGAGCACGAGATCATGTTAATTATTAAGGATATAATCCTATTTGATTTAGTTTTTAGTAGAGACATATTTGGAATGATTTTTCAAATATTTACAAGTAAAAAAATAAAATACAAAACACTTCAAAATCATTCCAAAAAATATATTCCTATCTTTTATTGTAAACATGATTAAGAAGAGATTAAAACTAAACTTAAAGTTGTAGCCATGGATCAAACCATCCTCCAACAATATATTCTATTCGAAAGAGACTTTTCAAAAAATAATGACGAAAGAAAATTATTTATACTCGATCCAAGCTCAGCACAAACTTAAAGTTTAACGAGTCCAACTCAATATAGCCTATTGAGTTGGATATGGATCACCATATTACAGATCGAGTGAACCAATCAACTGACCAAGAAAATTCCAAAAATATAACAATAATGATAGGACTTGGTCCGAACATGATCCTCGTGTGTACAACAAATACAACAAAGACATTTGTTTGGAGCAAACTTTGGAAGGAAGCAGATGAAATATTCCTTCCCACACACACACACACGCACAAAACGGAATATAATTTCCACAATGTTTTGGTCATACCCCATTTATGCTTTTCTTTAAGCAAAAATGTAACACTGCCAGCTGTAAATTCTGCATTTTTTTCTTTTTTTTTTACCAAGTCTTTCTTTCTTCAAAGAGACAATCAATATTGTAGTGTAGGTTAAGATTGCCAAAGATATGAGACTTACTTGGATCCCTCTCCCACATCCCACACCTTAATGATACACAACAAGGAATAGAAAACCAAACAAAACTTGCTTTTTCAGCTTTGGACAACTTTCCAACCCCTTTCTCGCCTAAACCCTAAACCCTAAACCATACTTTGACCCATCTTGTCTTTAACCTTCATGACTTTATTTATCCCTCTCATACCATATCAGTGACAACAATCATAGTTTAAGGTTTCTGGACAGGAACTTGTCCTCCCCCTTTTCAGGGTTTCGTCAAGATTCAGACAGACAACTTTTTAAGACTAGCTCTAAGGACAACCTTGGACAAGATGGACACTTTCACCCTCCCTAACTTCCTGTCAGCTAACCACATCAGCCTCCTTAACATCACATACTACTTTCCTTCCCCCCCCCTAAACTAGTGAAGAGCTTGCATTCTTAAACTAGTGAAGAGCTTAATTCAAAGAATGCAGTAGATTTCAATCAAGTCATAACTGCTCAAATCCACCACTAGCAAATATTGTCCGCTTTGGTTTGTTACGCTTTAGTTTGTTACGTATTATCGTCAGCCTCAAGGTTTTAAAACGCGTCTTTCAGAGTTACGTACAGAACCAGTACTCATCTACATATTATCTTCTTTGGGCTTTCTTTTTTAAGCTTCCCCTCAAGGTTTTTAGGTTTTCCCTTCTAGGTTTCCCCATTACGCGTCTACTTGGGAGAGGTTTCCACATCCTTATAAAGAATGTTTCGTTTCCGTCTCCAAGTCTCTCTCATCCTTATAAAGAATGTTTCGTTTCCGTCTCTAAGTCTCCAAGTGATATAGGATCTCAGACAAACAAATAATCTGATATGTAACTTCATCAAAAGTTGCCACTAAAGCCTGCCAGAACATGAAAGCATATGCTTTCAATGTTTTGCAGACTCTCCATCTTGGCTGATTTAGAGGTCACTGATTTATGTACATATTCTATAGAAATAAAAGAATCATGTGTGTCTTTATCTTTTCACTTACAGTATCCATTCCAGAACCGAAGTAGACAGATCCCCTTATGCTCTACAACTTGTAAAGGATTTATTCCTCTCCATCTTAGCTGCGTTGTTGTCTTCACAGCTTTGAAGCATCCATTACTGACTGTGGGGTCTCTGCCTATCAAACTTTATTCACATGGAGATCTGATGTGTTCTTCATAGACCTAACCAACCAATAAAAATAAAAAGGTGTAAAAAAAACATTAGTAGCTTGTGGAGACACACACAGCTAGTC